TCTGTTTAAATCTATCTATCTATCTATCTATCTATCTATCTATCTATCTATCTATCTATCTATCTATATATATATATATATATATATATATATATATATATATATATATATATATCTATTCCAGTCAATCCGAATCTATCTAACAAGTTAGTTATCTGTGTCAGCCTGTTGATCTATCTATCTATCTATCTATCTATCTATCTATCTATCTATCTATCTATCTATCTATCTATCTGAAGATTCCGAGTAAGCGCATGAAACTAGTAGTAATGACCGTTCAATGTACACTGGAAAATAATTAATAAAATAATATTAATGCTCTGCCATTTTGACACTGAGATCTTTTTCACCGGTATGAATTTTTAGCATTCACTTTAGGATTTATATATTTGTTATGCATTTTCTAATATAAAGCAAACTCTTCAACAAGAAAGAGTTTCTATACTGAATTAAAAAATATTAAACAAATCCTCATTAATAATGACTTTTCCAATTGCATAGTTGATGATGAAATTGGACGAGCTATTGAGAATATAAACATCAATAAAAAAATAACATAATACATCACGAAATAGCTCAAAACATATCAAACTACTGTACAGTATTCAAATGCATTCTAATCATAAATAAGAGGAAATAATTCTAAAAAGATTCATAACACTAATATACCCCCGACTGATCCAAATAATAAAAGAAAATTAATTATATACTATACTAAATTTAATACAACCAAGCTAGTCGTCCAAAACAATTCTTGCCTGTCAACTAGCATCTTGCAAAAGACCAACATTGTATCCTAATTAAAATGACCTTTGTGAGGTTTTACAACGACTATGTTGACGAGACGACTTACGTTTCACTTGAATGAGCATAGTTCAATCTCAGAATATTTAAAGGGATACTCATGTTCGCATCCACAGTTTAGAGAGATATTAGTCAAAAATACATTAGTACCTCATCAAAATAATAAGATAAGATAATCCTAAGGAGCTAGTCAAACCTACCAACGTTTCACCTAAACGGATCTTCAGGGAAACTGGCTGAAAAATGGAACAGGATTTATAGCTAAAACCAAAAATAACCATGACCACGTGACAAAAAAAAATACAAACAACTGGTGGGGGGGGGTATGTACTTTATTGAACAACCACCAAAAAAAAAAAAAAAAAAAGAAAACTATTCTAGTAACCAGTTTTCCTATATCTGCACCTACTAAAAATTTCCGATTTTTGGTTCAATAAATTTTAGGTTCCTTGTAGTTAGTGATAGCTAGTTTTTCCTCTGTACATAGAGAACAGAATTTATCACCTGCCTTATATTTATAACCATTTATATATATATATATATATATATATATATATATATATATATATTTATATATATATATATATGTATTATTACATTTATATATATATATATATATATTATAACATATATATATATATATATATATATATATATAGATAGATAGATAGATAGATAGATAAAGATCAGAGAGAGAAAGAGAGAAGAAATGAGAAGAAATTATGCAAATGTAGAGAGAAATTGCTTAAAAGCCAAAACATTTATTAATATACACAGATCTATCTATCTCAATTCCTTTATATATGACTATCTATTGTAACTCAGAAATCTGTCTAATTTAATTAGAAATCTAATGACAGCTCTTCAACTATCAATAGATCGCCCGCAAACAACGACTTATTTCGATGCCAGAACTAATTAATCTTGATTTTGACCTAGTGATTAATAAAAATAATTAGTGCATAATTAGCAGTAATCACAGATTAAGTTGATGTAAGGAAAAGCAATTGGCCATAATGACTTGACTTATTCAGTGCAAATGCACGAAATGCCATTTCTTTCCCGCCTTAGGTTTAGTCGCGTAAACTATGCCGATTTTCTATCTATCTATCTATCTATCTATCTATCTATCTATCTATCTATCTATCTATTTTTTCACTCTGTTCATATCTATCTATTTCGCTCTCTTCATATCTATCTATCTATCTATCTATCTATCTATCTATCTATCTATCTATCTATCTATCTCTTTTGATATCTAGCTATCTATTTTTCACTCTGTTCATATCTATCTATCTATCTATCTACCTACCTCTGTCCTTTTATATCTATCTATCTATCTATCTATCTATCTATCTATCTATTTTTTCACTCTGTTCATATCTATCGATCTCACTCTGTTCATATCTATCTATCTATCTATCTATCTATCTATCTATCTATCTATTTTTTCACTCTGTTCATATCTATTTCGCTCTCTTCATATCTATCTATCTATCTATCTATCTATCTATCTATCACTTTTGATATCTAGCTATCTATTTTTCACTCTGTTCATATCTATCTATCTATCTATCTATCTATCTATCTATCTATCACTTTTGATATCTAGCTATCTATTTTTCACTCTGTTCATATCTATCTATCTATCTATCTATCTATCTATCTATCTATCTATCTATCTATCTATCATTTGGTAATATTCCGAATTGTCGTTGGAGTAAAAAACCAATCTAATATCGTTGCAGCATCAAATTTCTAAAATTGATACTTTAGTTCCCTTCAGACGTCAAATGGAATATATAGAATTCATTGTTGAAACTACTGAAAAATGTTCTCTTTATTCTATCGCCCCAGGAAGTACCTGGCTCCTTCAGCTGTGCCTCAACTTTACAAGAATCAGATTATACAAAAAATGGTGTCTTGATGCCATCAGGAGTGGAACTTCTCAATCTTCACATTTCCTCCAAGGCAGGGTTTAAAACCGTTGACGCTGTCTCGTGATGCAGGACATATTTTACGCCCTGTAACCTCTTTCCCTCAGACACAATGTTGTAAGTCGAGTGTTATTCTAACACTGTTTCTATGGCAAAAGTTCAAATGACCTCCATTCTTTAATTGAACCAGGCCTTTAAAAATCGCCACGCTACTTTCATGGAGTCATATTATCATCATTTTTCTTTCTTTATTGAAGTCGACAACGTCGGCTGGATTTGAAATTAGCCCAATCCGATTATATCTCTGTTTTTCCCACCTATTAATACGTAAAACACATTCAATACGGAAATATATTTCATACCTCTTCCTCAAATTTCCAAAGCTTACATACGGGTTTGTCTCTCATTCTGAACTCAAGATGCCGGCTATAAAGAGGTGAAACGCGTTGTCTGCACAACTTTTCTACATTGTCACATTATCTTCTCTTTTGTTAAGATACTATTCTAGATCCTATTAATTTGCACACACGCACACACACACGGATATATATATATATATATATATATATATATATATATATATATATATATATATTAAGAATTTATGTAATGTCTGGGTGGTAGAAAAAATTCCTTTGTCGACATCCTAGTATTCTTTGTAAATCTGAAAGTTTGAAATCGTCTAAAGTGAATTCTTACTCAGCACCTGAATATTTCGTCGTGCATGAAACTCGAGTCGTTCTAGCGGTGAGGGATAATCTATCTCTCTCTCTCTCTCTCTCTCTATATATATATATATATATATATATATATATATATATATATGTTGTTATGTATACACATGTGTTTTGAACATAGAAATATAGGTCCTTGCTAGATTAGATAATCGTTATATTTGTCTTTTTATATGTTTATATTTGATTTGTAACCTGCAGTCGATATTAATTTTGTCAAATTTTCTTAATTATACAGCGGCCCCTTTTAATAAATGCCCTTCAGTTTTAGTTCCCCCCGCCCCATCTTTCTCCCCAATCCTTTTTTATTTTCCTTTTCTTTTCTTCTCCCTCCCCTTTTTATTAGATCGTCTATTGTGTGTGTATGTCACCACAAAATATATCCTTTTCGGTTACATCTTTAATGTATTAGACATCCGAGAATATTCATATTTCTCTCACTTAAACCGTCTTTGACTCCCTTCTTTAAAACTTCTCTCTGTTAATTTTAATTCCCCCTTCATCTTTAGACCTTCCTGTTCTTCTCCCCTGTTCTTCTCTCGTCTCTTACCCCTCTCTATAGCTTTCATTTACTCTAACATTCGTCCCACACTCTCATACATATACTCTCACTAAATTGAGTTGTTTTTTCTGTTTTCTTTTTTGAATTTGTAGGTCTGATGAATTGGATCGTATTTACGATTCCAATGGAATAAATTATGACCATGGAATATTAGTGTTTAAGCTTTTATATATATATATATATATATATATATATATATATATATATATATATATATATATCTGGCGACTAGTATCAATCTCACATTATTTAACAACGGAAATTTAAAAACAGAACGACGCCAACTTGAATTCCAGCAACATGCCTTTCGCGTGTCTTGGAATAAACGCTACTACGGAACAATATGTATCACACAATTCCATGATAAAAAAACAACTGGGAAAAGTAATTAATAAAACCAACAAAGCTTTTAAAAATTGCTAAAGAAGTGGCCGAAAGCGCTTGGAACAACAGACACTACGCACGATTTTGAGACTCCCTTACACCCACCAAACGGAAAAAGTTAAGAGGACGAAAAATTTCAATAAAAAAAATGTTTCCTTGTCTTCCATATTGAATTGTGTGCTGTACTGTATTTTAGTATTATCGACAAGTATTTGTCATATGTGAATAAATGTATCTTGGTCGTTCAAGATGTGCTGGTCGATATGTGATATTGAGTTTCTACGGATGACAGATCACGGAGACTGTAGTAAGCACTTCGGCGATGGTATATGGAGTCTGCAAGGAACACATGACCCCTTCAAGATAAATAGTAATACATTTGGAATCGGCTTTACTGCAGTCAGTAATGGAAGCTTGTCAGTGTTGAGAGTCAACCGATTGCAGGCCCTCGAATTTTCTCTCTATGGATTTACTTCCATCGTCTTTTCCGTATTTGGACTTTGACCCCTAAATTGATTGCCTTCACGATCTGAAAAGCTTCATCTACCCGAATTATATAATTATATAGCATATATATATATATATATATATATATATATATATATATATACTCTCTCTTGCTCGACTCTCCCGTCGAGATTCGACGTATGAGGGTCAAGCAGATCAGTTTCCAGGACAGCCCGACACCGGCACATGAGATTTGATTATAGTGGTGAAGGTTTCGTGCAGGACTATCCACACTTTTTGAAGGGCCGAATACAGAGACTTTGTCTCCAAACAACCCTCTGTAGGTTTTGAATTTAGAATTGTCCTTCTCCTAGACCAGTTGCCATCCAAGGCTATAGAACCCAGTCTGCCCTGCTATTTATCCATAGCTGGAGGGAGAAGGAGATTCACACCTTTCCCAAGGGTATTAGCACGTAAGTGAATCTAATGGATTCGACTGTCCATTACTCCACCGTGCAGATATATATATATATATATATATATATATATATATATATATATATATATATATATATATATATATATATATTTTTATTATTTAAGACATTTTTATGTTTAACGTTGTTATTTATAGATACAAGTATTTAAGCAAATGCTCTGTTTATCTATGAAAATTTAAATAACATTCACCGGCCTGTTATTTAATACTTTCATCATAAATATTCGTTCTTTGTTTAAATATTTGTCTCTATAAATAACAACGTTAAACATAAAAAATGTCTTTAATAAATAAATTGTCGGACCTTGTCCATTTCTTAATATATATATATATATATGTGTGTGTGTCTGTGTGTGTGTGTGTGTGTGTGTAAAAGACAATAGGTACATTGTAATGGTAGCCGGCGCGTTTTGTCCAATGTGGACTTTTTCAAGGCAAAAACGAAATGAAATTATTAAACAAAGTAATAATAAGAAAAAAATGTCCTTACCAACGCTATTTTCATACTGTTAACAGGAAATTACTTCAAAGGTTCTCTGAATTTTTCCAGTTGCTAAGGACATTTTGTTTTGTCATTATTAGTTACTTTGTTGAATAAATTCATTTCGTTTTTTGCCTTGAAAAAGTCCACATTGGGCGAAACGAGTCGGCTACCATTACAGTTTTCCTATTGTCTTTTACATTTATAAATAGTCTTTTTCTACAGGTTAACTCTGATATATATATATATATATATGTTGGATCTCCCGTCGATTTCGACTTATGACTCATGAAGATTCGAAAACCTCATTAAGTTTTTATGTTTGTTTTATATATGACACTTTGGATCGTCTAGTGTCCTGCATACAAGTCCACATATTGTGCCACAGAAAGGATCTCGGGACATAGTAACAAGAATATTTGTTGACACTTTTTGCCATTGTCTTTCGTCTCTTACCGGCTGATTTTGAAATTTATGATATCACTCTGGTACACATATCTCCAGTTATTTCTGTCCAGGGCAAATCGCTCGAAGTTAGTACGAGGCACATTGACAGCTGAGGGGTTATACTTTAGTTTGTCTTTCTACCTCAGCCACGGCAGTCCAACAGCATTTTGTGTCAAATAGGTTTCTATCGTTGTCCATCCTTGCAGCATGACAGCGCAGCGAAGTTGAGACTGCATCAAGAAAATCTCAATTCTACAAATGTTGCTTTTTGCCTGAAGATCAGCATTGGTCATCCTATCGTCCGAAGTATAGACACAGACCGCACGGAGACAAGCTTTGTGGTAGACATCAAGCTGATTTATATGGGACTTATAGGGGATCCAAGATTCAGAGCCGTAGAACAGTGTACACCTCAGAATAAAATTATACCCACTGAAGAGTGGACGGACCGGTCCGTGTACGAATCTCTGGACTCAGGATGCTGAAGGTAACATCAATCAGCTAAGTGACACACACATACTTTTACTCACATTAATTCGATATATATATATATATATATATATATATATATATATATATATATATATATATATATATATATATATATAAATATATATATATATATGTATATATAATTAAATATATATATATATATATATATATATATATATATATATATATATGGGATGTATCAAAATACGTTTACAAACTTTGGAGGTGGGTTTCTCACACCAAAACAAGGACAAAGGTCAATATAAACGTCTGCAAATGCTTCTTTTTTGAGTTATTAAGTTTAAAGAAACACACAAACGCACACACACAGACACACACACAGACACACACACAGACACATATATATATATATATATATAGAGAGAGAGAGAGAGATAGATAGATAGATAATATTAGTGGTCAATATATATATATATATATATATATATATATATATATATATACTTAAATTTCCAAGAGGATAGAATCCAGCTAGAACTCAATAATAATTTGTAGGTCTGATGAATTGGATCGTGATTACGATTCCAATATAATAAATTATAACCATGGAATAATAGTGTTTGAGCCTTTTATATTATATATATATATATATATATATATATATATATATATACATACATGTATATATATATATATATATACAAATAGTTTAGAAAAAAAACCCTCAGATAGCTCAACTTGTAGATATATCA